AGATTTAATTGAAAGATACTTTCCTAAACGCAACTAAAATCATAAAAAAAGGAAAGATAAGACAAATAATAAAACTATAGATATATGGAAACAGAAAGAAAAGAAAAGAGGATCTTACTATCATTTGACTTACTTTTATTTCATTTGGTAATCCGATTAATGTTGCACTCGAACGCTGTCCCGATTCTAGAAATATTTTGTTTGAATTAAAATAATTTTTTTTTTAATTAGAGGAATACTTTACCTTCTAGTAGTTTACATAATAAACGATTTGCTAGATTATCTTTGAATAATCGTGATAAATCAAGAAGATTATGATAAGGAAAAACTGCATTTAAAGCCATTGCTAAAATAAAAATTCCTATTATTTATTTTCTAACATACAAGAAAAAATAATAATCAATATTACAAATTACATTGAGATTTTCTTAGTTTGCAAATTATCTTTAACCTATTTAATCTAAACTATTTTATACCTCTCATTAAAAAATAATTCTAAAACTTATTTTTATGTACATCTATCTTATCAGTCAAAAATAAGTTGTTTCTATAGAATTCTTTTCATACCTTCTTTTTGTGTATATAAATAATTTCCAATGTTAAATGATAGTTTTCCACAAGCTTGTGAGATTGAATTAACAACACCTAAATTGGACGGAGAAAAAAAAAGGTAAACGAATGAAATAACTTAAAAAACAAAATTCTACCATCAATTGTCACTAATGAATCTGTTTTCATAATTGCTAATGAACATCTAATACATTCTTTTTCACATAATTTATGTCGATAACGAATAACATAAAATGTTGATGATTTTCGTGCAATTTTTAAATCATAATTATTTTCTGCATCCTAAATTACAAAGTTTTTTTTTTTTTTAGTAAAAATCATTTTTTTTTTACCATTTGAAAGCCACTTTCAAGCATTAAAGCATGTATAACTATAACTATATAATCAAAATCTGTTTCTGGTTGAGAACATTCCACAAGATGATATATTAATTTTGGATATGTTTGTAAATCTCGTACTTCATCAAGTGTTAATGGTTGATCAATAGATGATATTGATAATGATGATAAATTATCATTATTTATTTCATTTAATATATAAATTGTATCACCATTAACAAGATCAGATTGTGACATTGTCTGATTTTCAATTAATAAATCTTTACCATTAAGTGATAAATGAAAGTTTGACTTTCTTAATGATGGAATATTTTTTTTTATTGTATTTTTTAAATCATTTACAGATAAATTTTCATTAGTATCATCGAATGTTATTGAACTTGTTTGATTATGAAATTTAATACGAAATTTCATTATTCGAATAGAAACCAAGAAAAACTAAATAAACTTATCGCTTTCAGACAGCAGACAGCGCTCTCTTTATTTTTCCTTATTGATACAAGTCAGGGGAATGAATTCACATGATCGTCATAAAAAATCTACCAATGAAATAATATGTCGCCATATATATATGACAATCCTTTATTAGTTATTTTTTGTTTATTTGTTTGTTTGTTTTTCATCTGTCTCTATCATTTAGAAGGTAATCATTATTTTCAACGATAAAATGAGTGATCGTGGTGTAAGTAGTAAAAAGTTTTTTAATAAAGAAAAAAGAAACACATATATTTTGTTTTTGCTTTTTTTATTTAGTATTCAAGAGAACGAGATAATGGACGATCACGTCGACGATCGCCTGGTTCACCACGAACAAGCCGATCACCATCACCAAGACGATAGTATGTTATTCTTTTAATTTATAGTATACTTATGACAAAAATATGAAAATGATAAGTTATATCATGTCCTTCATTAAGTGATTACATAAAAATATAACAGCACTGATGCAAGTGGACGACTGAATCGCTCCTTTCCCTTTTCAGACATGCCCTAGGTCTATTACTATTAGTAATGAAATTACTTCATCAAAAACAATCAATAGAATATATATGCCATAGTCCAACTCGATGAGTTAATATATACGTCTATAGAATATGTTAATTACGGAAGTCATGTCGGTAGTTGCGGGTCCACGTTTTTGAAGATCCGATTTTTTCCTAGTAATATTTGACATCTTCTATATACATGAAGGTTTTAGCTGTATATTGGTTACTCTTCGAAAAAAAAGTCCATGTAAAGTTATTTCTTGTTGTTGACTTTTTATCAGTTGATGTTTGAAAAATTTCAAGTTTTCATTTAGTTGAACAAAGTATTGTATTAACAAAAATCGTTGCATCAAAATCTTCAACTGAATGAAATAGTTTTTGTTATACTTATATAAACGCAATTAAACAAGAATGAGAGATGCAAGTCCACATTTTTATAAACCCAGATCTTGTAGGATCCTACAGCTTTCTGAAACTATGAAACACTGTTTGTACAATGAGTCATAAGATTTGTTTGTGTAAAATAAATTTGACAATAAGGGAAAACAGAAAAGATTCGATTGAATGTTTATCTTGTAAGATGGAAAAATAACGAATGTAATCATTTTCATAGAAGATGATACAAATTTTTGATTTATGCCATAGAGAAAAACTTATCCTTCTCATTCAGTCAAAATTACGACGGAGATATTCTCTTGTTTTTTTTTGTTCTATTAATAGAAGTTAAGGGTACTTTGTATATTTATTCTAAAAATCTATGAAAAAATTTTTTTTTTCAATAGTTCTCGTTCACCATCACGTCATCGATCAAGACGTAGTCCAACGAGTCCAAAAGGTGGTCGTCGTCAACCAAATGAAATGCATCGTGAAAATCCAATACCAAGTGCAGTACTTGGAGTGTTTGGTTTATCACAATATACAACAGAACGTGACTTAAAAGGTATTTTAAAAAATTATTTACAATTAACTTGTTAAATGTTTCTTTTATTAATTTAGAATTATTTCATAAATTTGGTCGAATAAAAGATGTACAAGTTGTAATTGATAAAAAAACAAATAAATCTCGTGGATTTGGTTTTATTTATTTTGATGAAATTGAAAGTGCAACACGAGTAAAAACGAAAAACAAAAAAACAAATATTTTTGTTGTATTAAAAATTTTTTTTTTTTGTCTAGGCTAAAGAAGCTCTAAATTCTGTTGAAGTTGATCATCATCGCTTACGTATTGATTATTCGGTGACAAAACGTGCTCATACACCAAGTAAGTTAACCGATAAGTTTTTTTAAGATTTTTTAAATTGTTTTTTTTTTTTTATTAATATTAAAGCACCTGGTATTTATATGGGTGTTCGTACAACATCATATCATCGATCAAATGGACATAGTTATCGTCGTTCACCATCACCCGAACGAAAATCCTATCATCGACGACATCGTCATCATAACAATCGATCTCGGTTTGTTAATACTAGCATTGATTACAGATTATTGAATATATTAATATTAAATCATTTAGATCACGTTCTCGTAGTCGAAGTCGATCACGATCTCGACGTGGTAAGAATTTAAAAATTAATGAATTTATTTATTTATTTATTTTTTCTTAGGTGGTGATCGTCGACGTCGAAGTCCAGGTTATGGATATGATTAAATAGGAAAATCTAAATGGCATTCATTCCCTGCTGACGAATCTCATCGGGGTGAGTGTCTAGTCAACATTGTTTTTTTTTGCTATGAAAGTAGAAAAAAAATGTTTAAACTAACTCTATACTCATCCAACATGATTTCTTCTTCGTCTTTTTTTTTCTTTGTGTATGTGTATTCTGCGCTACACTTTTCATTTTTTTTCCTCCTGTCTATTTCATGATGTTTTCCTTTTTTTTTTGTTCTTGCACGATAAGGTTCTCAAATTGACTGTTTTGTTTTTTTTTCTTCATTCTATGTGTATCAAGAAAAAAGAAATTATGTAAACATGCTTAAACAAGAAAGAAGAGTTGTGTTATGAAGAAAGGAAGATTTGTTTGAAGATTGTTCCTGAGAAGAAAAAAAAAGAAAGAAACTATTTTATATTTCTAAAGAAAAATTTATGAAAAAACGGTATGATGAATACAGAGAAGTAAATGAAGAAATATACGTTCAAAAGGAAGATGAAATTTGAAAGAAGAAAAATGGATGAAGGAGATATAACGTGAGTTATTATTATTTATATTTATTATTGTATCATTTATTCTCTGTTTTTTGAATGTATTGAAATAAATACAAATAAACTATCGTAGTTTATAGCAGAGATAATAAAAACAATTTTAATTTGCTTTTTTTCTTGAATAAAACAAAAAAAAGATTTATACGTGATATAATATGCAAAGAGAATAAATGATATATTGACATTCACAAAACTTGTAGAATTTTTCAACATGATTTATAAATCAATGAGCTCATATAACAGTATGAGTAGCTAATTTTTATATTGGAATGATATATTAATAGTTTATAAGAAATCAATATTACTTTCAGACATTCACTTGCTTTTGACAAATGAAGTTATCGATTGAATTGATATAATTCTTAAAGCTATTTTCTATACGATAATTATTGATTGCAAGTTCATATTTGAATAAAGATAAAAATTCTATATGCATTTCAAATGATTAAATAGAAATACTTCAATGATGAATTAATTACTTGATCAGATCATGATAAATAAATATTTCTTAAGTATTGTAAATCATTAGAAAACAAACATGAAACAAAATATTCAGTAAATCAGCATTAACAAGATTAATTTTAATGAATAGAGATATATCTTGTATCAGGTAAGTTATTGTGAGTTGCATTGCATGAGACAAATTATTAAGATTTCAAATCAGTCATTAAATCAGCAAAGAATAATTCAATATGATTGTTGAAATTTTCTTCCATTGAAATTCAAGCATTACTAAACGAGACAAAAATGACATGACGTAGAATAAAAGAGAGAAAAGGGAATAATTATATTTACATTGTTGATTGTTCGTGACTATTGATCAATTGTGTGAAGTGTCGACACATTTTCAAAATCAAATCAAATACATTTTTTTCTTGTTTCGTAACACACTATTCACTAACAATGGCAACAGCACAATATAGTGCATTGTTTCCACATGTTGCACCACGTTGTAGAGAACTTCTTCATATACTCGTACATGGTGCCGCTAATTTACCTAATATAGGTAATCGTTTACCTCAATATTATGTTACAGCGTAATTATATGAATCTTGATTATTTTTGTATTTATTTATATATATGAATATATATATAGACAAAGTCACACAACTGTAGCAGGAGAAGATAATGTAGAAACAATAAATGCAACAAATTATGTTGAAGGTATTTCACCTCAATGGAATGAAATGATTTATGTAGACATATCAGAAGATAAAAGTCAATCGGAAGGTAAAATAAAATTTGTTCATTATCTATACTATTGATGATTGAAAGGTTTTGAAAAAAAAAAGAAATAGTATAGTCATCTTTTCTATCATAATGTAGATTAAATATTTTATTTGCAGGAGTTATTTTTTTTATTATTGATGAAGTTAGTAAAAAGAAAATCGTTGAATATCATTTACTATGGAGATGGTTAGCACCATTCTATGAATATCATTTAAATTTACAAAAGACATTACCACAAACATCTCAAACAACTTGTTTATATGTTTCAATAATGAAGAAACAAAGTTCTTTATCAAAAGAAAATATTCGATATTTTGGTTTAGAAGCATTATTAAATGGATTTGATGTACCGATTACAAATAGTCAATCAAGTTATGTTATTGCACGAATTGTACCTGATTATAAATCTTATAGGCATGTATTAGATACTTGTTTCTAGCAGAGATTTTGCGATATTGCTTCGTTTCATATGTAACTCTATTTAGGAACAAGATAAAACAATGGATTTTTTAAAAAATGCTGCATTAAATGTTTTACTCGGATTACAAAACATTCAAGTCCTATAGCTATTTTCGAAACTTTGGTAGATTGTTAACACTGAAGTTATTTCCTATAAGAAAAAATAAAAAGAAGGCCGAAAATTGTTGAATTTTAAACATTCATATTGACTATCAAGTTTAACCTTCAAAACATCTTGATTATTACTCCATTCTCATTTCAAATACAAGTGAAAAGTAAAGTCTGAATCAAATGATTTGGATGCGACGCCTTGAAGTAAAACGCTGCTTTTTTTTGTACTTTATTGCTCTCAAATATGTTGCCTAAAAAACAGTGAGCTCGATGCATAAATCACTAGTTTAAACTTCTTTGACTCTTGGAAGAAATAGTAAAAACAAAAAAGAATTAAGCTTAACAAAATAATGAAATGAGAACATGTTGATGAGAAGTCAGTATTGACTAAAAGTGACCTCAGTTATCAAGCATAAAATAGACTTCCAATATTCCATTGTGAGAAATAGCACAATGACACATGTGTTCAGTGTTAGCAGTAGAGTCTTGTGGAGACAAATTTTGACGATTCTGACTTCGAAAATTTCTTTTGACTGGCATATGCGATGGGCTCAACAATTGGTCATATAGATTTAAATTCAATGTTTTGTTGCTAATGGTAACTCGTATAAAGGATCCAAATAATGACTTGAATAGATAAGACTGTTTACAACAGGACTTTATAAGAAAGCAACTGCTCACAACATTGTTGAAACTTAGTTTTTCATCAACTAGAAGCTACAAATAAAAGCTTTTCTTGATTACACGAAGCAAGAAAGTAACTGATTCTCTACAAAATTAGATGTCTCTGAACTTTGAAGGATGGTTTTTTTGATGAAGTACATTGATATTAAGAAACTCCAAAAGACAGTTTTTTTCGCCATTGTTTGTATGAAAAACTAGACGAAAAGGACTTTGGAACTTTTTTAAAATTTATCCGATTCAGTCAAAAAGTGTTATGCAGAGGTCGAAGAGGTATCATTTTGTAGAGAATTAGTTGTTTTTCTGCTTCATATGATCAGTAACTTTTTATTTTCGGATTTTGGATGCTGAAAAATTAAGTTTCAAGTTTTCTACTTTTCTTTTTCATTTAATATGTTTATTGGCTTGACAGTTCTTGTTTATCGACAGTCACAATTATCAAAAATGAGTGGTACATAAAAAAAAAGAATGAAATTAGATTTTTGAAGTTCGATGCATACCTCTAGTTAACAGTCTATTAAAATTTGAAAAAGAATTGTAAAGACTGAATTTTGTGATTCGAGTAGAAGATTTAACGACGCATCTTTTGAAAACATAGATCTATGTTGTATCACGTTCGTGAATAGAGTTACCGGCAAAACAAAGAATGTCATAAAAATTTTGCTATATTTGATAAAATCGATTTTATATTTATTCATAGACAAACATATTTACTTGATCAAAGAAATGAAAGTCATGGTATTAAGTTTAAAGTAGTAGAAGATCCTAGCGAGCAAGATTTTATATTACCAGAATTCTCAGATGATGGCTATCCTCAATTATCACTAGCATCTAAAAGGGTATGATGATCAATAAAAAAATACAAATTACATCTCTCTAATCACAATAAAGTATATGGCTTATATTAACTTATTTATTCGTCAGACTATCATCGTTTTGTGTCATATTTATACTTTAGATTCATCTATTATCGTTTAGTCTACTCTGCAATTGACAACTTGTAAAGAGAAATGATTTGTTGATACAATTACATATTTGTTTCGTAGACTAATATGCAATCGAAACCGAAATTTGTCACTGTGATTATCTTGCAAACATTAATTGATTTTATATTGAAATCTTCGAATTTAATTTGATGTCTTATGACAATCAGTTGCAGATGAAGTCATGTCTGTCTCACGAGACAAGTCATCTAACTGGTATATCGTTGTTGAATTCAGAATAAATTTATTGAATGAACCTAATGACCCATGATTATCTTGAAAAGAGTTCGCAGTCTCAGTATATTGCTACGGAGATGCTGCACTTATAAAGTAATTTTTAGATAGATGCTATAGTTCTCCTAAGGAACATGAGGAAAAACTGATTTTAGAATGTCAACGTGGAACTTAGCGTAAAAGCAGCTCTGAACGAAAGTTGATTTTGTGACTATTTAAAATCTTGCCGTAGTTCCTATCCTAAGATACAACTATGATAATAGTATGCCTTTCATATCATTCATATAAACTGATAAATTTAATGTTTTTATTTCAGAATGGAAACAAATCAAATGATCTGAAAATTTCACAATGAAAGATTCTTGTTAAGATGTGTATCTATGTAATGTTTCAAGTTGAAACTCAAAAATCAATTTTTCTGATGTTTCTTAAGAAGATCACAGAATTTATTTAAAAAATAATGTGAAAGTACACTATCTCTGCAGTTATAAGTTAAAGATATGGATTCATTGATTTGAGGATTTTCTTCGTCAGTTATATAACTTGACGAATCTCGATTTTTTTTGTATTCATTTATACTAATAATAATTGTTGCTTCCAGTTAGAACTGCAGAATGACTAACATATATAGATGGTATTTTAATTAATTCTATTGTCTTGTGTGTAATATATAGATCGAAATAGAAATGTTTTTCATTTGCTACAAGGCAACAAACTACTATTGAAGATATCAAATAAAGTAATCAATACTAAAAAGATAGTCACAAAAACAAATTTTGGATTCAATTGCATATTTAATACATCAAACAAATTAGAAATTGTCTCAAAGCTTTCAATTGTACAGTAAACTAAATGATAAAATACACATCGATAGTATAAATATGAGATCAAACGATGATAGTCTAAAGAATAAATAGATAACCATTTTATATACTATAGATTGTAATCAGGAAAATATATTTTATAAAAATTCTTTTAGTCAAAACGTCCAATATGGAAACATGACTTTTTCTTTTCGCATGATAATGAAAAAGATAATATGTTTACAAATCCGAACAGTGCACTCGTATTTGAATTTTATCCATTACAAAATATTGGTAATAATACAAGATGGCGTATAGCAGGTTTACTTGGATGGACAACTATTCTATTAGATACACGATTATTAAACGCACTTTCATCATCAGCTGCACGAGAAGGCATGAGAACTGAAGGTAGTATTGCATTGTTTTTATTTCTTATTTATTTATTCATTTGAATTTCAACAAAAAAAAACAATTAAAGGTCTTATGATCAATAGTGAAGGTGATTTAGCACCAGAAACTGCGAAATATTTAACAGCTGAAGTTGTTCTTCGTCTTGTTACTGAAAGGCATCCAACAAAAAATCTTCTTTCATCATCAGGTAATAATTTACCTGTATTACCTTCATATTATAATCAAGGTATTCAACAAAATGGTACTGAACCTGTTTATATACAAGTGCCTATGTCACAGAAAAACTTTTTACCAGCAATAAAATCACCAACATTACCACCGCCTGTTGCTCGTTCACCTATACAAGTAAGAAACATTTTATATATAGATGTTTATTGTTTGAACACTGTTAATTTAATAGAATAGAAAACGTGTACTCATTTACTATAAATTTTACATAAGAACTATGGAAAAATATTGTCTTGTGTGTAATTTAAATTTCTTTCATAATTACAGGAAAAAGGATCGATTTAAACTCCACCGACTTCAACTATCTTTTAATAGACAGATATTTATCGCAAATATAGACAATTTCAGGTATAATTAAACATGTAAACCTTTCATTTGATTTTGATTCTTTACAAGGGCTATTTTTCTGATCAAGTTCTTTTAGTATAGACATATCTAATACAAGGATTGAATTCGGTGACCGAATTCATTCAATTTCTGCTTCCAAATTCCTACAATTTTCGGACCGAGAACCTATGAATTTAGGTGCCTGACTCATTGATTTGGAATAAAGCAAAAGTTATTGCTCTTTTTTTTGTCTCGCGTTGCTAACGCTAGCATTTGCTATTGATAACTCTTCTAAAAACATTAGCTCTATGAAAGTCCAATGTTTTGAGATTCGCGTGTTCTAATTTTTCGAAGTGATGTCGTTAGCGAATGATTTGTCCACTATGCTAGATAAAGCTTCAAAGATTAGGTTATGAAACTATTAAAAAACCCTTATGTCACTCTTTCGAACTGTTCCAGAACTATTCATGCCCATTTTTCGTTTGATCTTTAGCAACAAATAGTATAAGTATATTTGATAGCAATTCAAAATGGCAAACGATCACCTACAAATACAAGACAAATAAACACTTAAAGTTACTAAAGCATGGATTGTTCTCTTTTTCTTAACATAAAAAGAAAACGAAATATTTTTCTCCTATTAAAAATCATTTCACTTGTTTATGACATATTTTGCAGTTGATTGCTGCTAAGTCACAGGATCATATAAAACGTATGTTTTACTATCATCCGAACCAAAAACGATTGGTTCTAGCACCAAAACCAATAAGTATATCAAATGATGCACTAACGTATTCTCTTGTCTGCATTTGAACTAAGACAAAAAGCTTATTTCGAATTTGCTTTTTTTCCTCTTTTTTAAGGCAGCTCAACCAACATTTCTTCCACCACAATTGTATCAACCACCTCAATATGATGTATGATAATTTTTCGTTTTTTTTTTTTATAATTACAATTTTTGTTTTTTAAAGTTTGTACAAAGTGCTCCACAAGCACCAGCAGTAGATGTTAGTTCTTAAAGTTTGTTTGCGTTTTGTATTTATTCTTCATTATTGATAATATAGAATACTCGTTATCGTATTCCACGTATTAATCCATATGATTTGGATGATATTCCAACAGAATATCGAGCTATGTTAGCAACAAATTATCCTCCACGTCGAGATGATGATATTAATGGTTGGTTTGATTATTTTGAACGTGAAGTTGCACTTTATAAACAAGCTATTCGACGTATTATACAAGATGTTACACAATTACGTGATCAACATAAAACATTAAGAGCAGCAAATGCTGATTTACGAACAAAAATAGAAAATTTTGAAAAGAAAAAAAAAGTTTTATATGAAATTTTTGAAGGTGATAAAATTGATAAAGCTAAAATTCAAGATATATTTAGTAAGAGAAAAATATGTTATTTATCATTAATTTAAAAATCAAATATTATTTTATTTTTAGATCGTTTAAATGCTAAAATATCTGCTCAATCACTTGAATTAAAAGAAAATTATGCAAAAATAATTGCTTATGAAAAAGAATTAGCTCGGGTATATACGTATATATATCATAGAAATGAATAATAAAAAAAAAGAAATTTTTCTTTTGTAGCGAGGTGAATTACGTGCTCAATATGATGCATTAGTTCGTTCAAGTCAAGCACGTGAAGTAGAGATTAAATTATTACAACAACGAATAGGTAAAGCTGATGGACTTGAAGAAACAGTTCGACGTCAAGAAATGGTTATTGAAAGACTTGAATCAATGATTAATAATTATATGAAACAAAAACGATTAGGAGGTTGAAATCTTGCTTTGACATTGATTTTTGTTAGAGAACAAGAGATTATTGTTTTTTGTAGGAGCATTTAATGATATTGATAGAAACTTTTTATCTGAACATGCTGCACTTGGTTTAGAAACTCAACAACTTCAAGTACGTTTTTTACTTAGATTTTTATTGATCATAGAGTGAATATTTAGTAGAGACGAGTATCTCCTGGACGTCATACAGCAATGGTAAATAGTCATCGAGACGATCTTCTTCAACAAAATATAGCTTATCAACAAGAATTAGCTACGCTTAAAGCTCGAGTAAGGTTCATAAAAGTTTTGGGTTTTCAATGATTTAATATTACGTATTTGTTTCTTATTGATCATTAAATAATTGTATATGATGTTTTAGTTGCAAGAAAATTCAGCTGCATGGGGAAAAGAAAAAGTTGAATTACTTTCGAAAATCAACGATATGGAGCCATCGGTGAGATTTTTAGTTCTTTTTATCAATTAGAAAGTTTAGTTGTTTTTTTTTCTAGTCACCTACACCACCGACACGAATACGAAAACCAAAGCCTTATTAAATGTTTATTCAGCTTTTTAAGAATAAAAATTAAATAAATATTTTTTCTCATAATTAACAAGTAATAAACATGATCTATGGTCAATGTGACTTACTAAAAGTAGGTATTAATCGTCCGTAAAGTCGATGATCTCATATAAAGTGTTATTGAGTACAAAAAAATGTTTTTAATGAATTAAAAGAATGTCTTATAATAAAATAAAATGTTTTCATACGACTATATTGTTTTTCACTGGTTAACTTTTCAATCAATAATTTCGAGGAGTTCCATCTGAAAAGACATCAGTTTCTGTCGGAAAACGGTAGCAACTAGGAAGCAGGAATCTGGCTGCCGAGTTCTTATAGCTTCGGGTTGAACCGAGCATAGATGGCTTCTTGAACGAAAAGTACAGTTTATTTATAGCAGTTAGTTGCGAGGAAGAACCGTCCCTGTAAATAGAATCTTAAGTTCATATTGCATTATGAACTACATAGATAATGAAAAATACAATAGTGGACATAATTTTTCGGACGGTTTTATTTTGTGTATAACTAACTTATAAAGTTAGTTTTTGAGGCGCGGCTTTGACCAAGATTACCAGTAGTGTTCATGGTGGAACTGGACATCTAATAATGAGTAACAGTCATTTTCTGTTAGACAAGTTTTTCAGACGATCTTTCTAAGTGAGTTATTTTTTTTACAATTGTTTAAAAGAATAGTAGTTATATAAATAGAAAGAGCAAAACACGAGCTACATTTTGATAACTAAAACTTTCTAAAAGCAAAATGTCTATGTAGTAAAATGCTTATTTTATGACAGACAGCTGAGAACATTCATGCGAACTCCTTATCAATTTTATATAATGAGTGGTTTTTCTTTTTAAATATCATATTCGAAAGAGTATTACACACTGCATAAGATAGTAGATAATCTCAGGTTTCACGGAAAACGGTTTTTTTTATGGTTTTTAGGTATCGTTTTCTGAAAAACTTGCAGAGTTTGAATGTCTTTCGAATATGATATTTAAAAAGAAAAACCATTCATTATATAAAGTCGATAAAGAGTTCCCATGAACGTTGTCAGCTGTCTGTTGTAAAATAAGCATTTTACTACATAGACATTTTGTTTTTACAAAGTTTTAGTTATCAAAATGTAGCTCGTGTTTTGCTCCTTCTGTCTATATAATTACAATGCTTTTAAACAATTCTGAAAAAAACTCAATTGGAAAGATCCTTCGAAAAAACTTGTCTAACAGAAAATGACTGCTGATCATTGATAAATGTCCAGTTCCATCATGACTCAACATTTAGGGGACTGAAATTTTCTGTAAATATAGCATGGACACTACCGATAATCTTGACCCAAGCCATGCGTTAAAAGCTAACTTTATACGGTAGTTATACACAAAATAAAATCGCCCGAAAAATTATGGTGAGTATTGTATGTCAGTTGAGAACGTGTTTACTACATTGAAAACATTTTTGATTAAATATATCCAACATAGTAGATAAACATATGGCTTCATAGGGAATTTCAATCTTTATTAGAATATTTATATACACTTTATATTAAGAACATAGTTCTCGTGGGATGAAAGTTTTACAAAGTAATTTTTTGAATGATGAAAATTGAAAGTGCTTTCAATATATGTAATTAATATTTGAAATCTGTTTTTATAGTGACGATAAATTGAAAGTACGAACTGCAACTATTTTTGTTTCTTAGCGTGTCTTGATATAATAATCAATGGAGAAAATTTTACAATTCAATCAAGATTTAAAATCATGCAATAATTATTTTCTTTTTATAAAGTTTCATCACTGGAAATATTTCAGTGATTTCATTTAGACACGTAAAAATTACATTTCATCTTTATTTTATTTGTGACTTGCTTGAAATTCTAATTTCAAGTAATATTTTAGGGCAACGTTAGATATTAAGTGTTTGTTAATGTAAGTCAATGCAAATCTTGTACAAAAATAATGAAGAAATATTGAGTCTTATGGAATTATAAATGGCCGATTCTCCTTAATAGACGTATACATTAAGAAAAATAAATCACATAACTCAACTTGAAACTGATACCAGTTTTTCAGTTGATAATAAGTCACAGACTTCACTTAATAATACTGATCCTCATATTTTTGACGATGGAGATTATATTATAGTCATTATACAAACAAGAATTATATAAATAACATAACGATAACAATACAGATATTATTCTTTGCATTTATCCATCTTTAATGATCAACGTTGAAAAAATTCACAGTTTGATGTACTAATTTGATCAAATCAATAACGTATATTTCCTTCATTGAAGTCTTCGAAGTATTTAATTACAGTTTTGTTTCGCAATAAATTTGGTATTACGATGATCGGCGTAGGTTTTCTCTTCGTCTACAATCACACTCTCAACGTGGAACTCACACATGAATTTGATGGTAACAAGAAAAAAACGCAAAATCAAATTGATTAATGCAGTCCAGGGATAAACTATTTTCTAAACTATGTAATTCATGCTGCTATCTTAATGGAAAGGAATCGAAAAACGATACTCAATCGAGATTATGTCTAGAAAAGCAGTATCTATAAGCGGCGAGCAGACGCACTGAACACAAGCTTACATACTGTGTCATAACAAATTCGACGAACATTCGATCAAATAAATTGCGAATAACTTTAACTTATAGTGAGAATACGTACTTTTCTGATGTCAAGTGGCTGTCTGTAAAGGTTTGTAGTACTTTCTTTGAAACCAAAAGATCATTTGTTTCAAATATTAAATGATTAAATTAAAAGAGTCATGTGATGAACATAAACGTTGATCAATACCTGAGTAATGCACAGAAAAATTTCATCTAACAGGTATTAGAAATATGTCAAAACACATACTTGGTTGATTTGTAAATGATAAATTTCTCGCATGCGCGTAAATATTAAACAATAGTAATAAATATTTATATGTTGCAAAACATCAATCTGATTCAGAAAACTCATTAGATACAGCGTGTTCTTGTATCAATATTGACCTTGAAAAATGTTATCTCAAATGGTTGTTATTCTTAATCCTATTCTCATCATGAGGTTGAATACAGCTGAAATTATTCAAGAACTTTTCAGAAACAAGAGAATTCTTGTTTCTATGATTCGATTTTCCAAGTTTAAAATGGTTACAGATATTTCGTTCGATCTCATCCCTCTCTATGCTTGTTTGTCGATGTCAATAATCATCACCCAGCTTGTTATCGTCGTTTGTTTGGCTCATTAAGTACAATCTTGATTAATATTGTTCATCATGACAATCCTGCCTCGTTTCAATAGTCATCATCAAAAATTTCCATTGTGAAGAAAATTCATTGAAACTTTATGATTTCATCCAAAGAATTGTTGACTTTCATTTGAAACCGTAAAATTTAATGCCGAACATTTGATCAGCATTTTCCTACAAGACTAAACAAAATCAAAATAAGATTTTTCATTCAATCAAATGAAATGTCGATAAGAAATGGAACAACTTCACTTTTCGGTGAAATTCAAGTATCGAGCAACAAGACAAAGCATTTGCGTTTATTCGATAATATTTGTCTGCTCAACAGCACCAATTACTGATATTTTAATGCTAACCGTCTCGAAAAACTGATGTAGATTGAAAAGAAATCCGCAAGAAAAAGACTTCCAATCGATCAAAGTTGAGGATGCTTCACTTTTTCTATTTCATTTCTTACTTTTGCTCAGTTTTTATAACGCGTGATTATTATCAAATCTGAAACCTTGCTTCTTTTAATTATTTTACAAGAAAAATTTTACTTTTTATTTTTTAAGATAAAAGAAAGGTTAGCAGAAATATCATACAGAATTAAAAATAAGAATTGCTACAATAGAATAAAACTGAACTGTACATTGTACACTTATTGAATAAGCAAAATGTTTTTCATTGTTAGTCACCGATTGAAAAACAAATGATATACTATGTTATTTCTGATAAAACCTACAATGTAATATCCCTTCTTAGTTAGCATCGATTACAAGTAGATGTTAAATAATTGGTTATGGACATATGTTCAGAAATATGGTAGCACTATCATCAATAAAATTGGTCACAACCATGTCTAGTTTTGCATCATTATTAAAATCGCCCATTGCCAAAGATGATGGACTATTGCCTGTTTTATATGTTCTCTGCGTCTGAAAAGTACCGTCTCCATTCCCAAGAAGTACGCTGATACTATCACTACCGGAGTTAACAACAACGAGATCTATATTTGCATCATTGTTGAAATTACCCGCTTTGATAACAACCGGCCTTTTTCCTGTTGAATATGTTATCTGACTCTGAAAGTTTCCCTTACCATCACCAAGAAGCACATTTACACTATTATTAGCATAGTTCACAACGGCTAGATCTATATTACCATCATTGTTAAAATCACTCGATATCACCGACACTGGATATACGTCTGTCGAATATGTTGTCTGAGTCAGAAAAGCTCCGTTACCATTACCAAGTAGTATACCAACGTCGTCACTGTCGGCATTCGCAAGAGCAAGATCAAGTTTCGAATCATTGTTGAAATCACTAGATATGATGGAGAATGTGCTTTTACCTGCCGTATGCATCACTTGTTTTTGAAAGCTGCCATCACCATTGCCCAGAAGTATGCTGACGGTATTATTATTACTATTGGCAATAGCTAGATCTTGTCTACTATCACTATTAAAATCACCTGATGTCACAGAAGTCGGATTTAATCCTGCACTATAAGTTTTCGCTCTCTGAAACGTCCCATTACCATTACCAAGTAACACAATGGCAGCGTTATTAATGCTGTTTATCGTAATGAGATCCAGTATATTGTCATTGTTGAAATCGTTTGCTACCACAGAGTCTGGTTTTGTTCCAACTCCACAAGTTATCTGATTTTGAAAGGTACCATCATCGTTCCCAAGAAATACACCGACATTATTACTACCGGAATTAACTACAGCTAAATCTAATCGTGTATCATTGTTCAAATCA